GTATTGCTTGCCACAATCCTATGAGGTAGTCATTATCCGCATTTTACAGATGAGGAAAATTCTGGCTCTGATAAGCAACTTTAACCTAGTTCACATTGCTGGTGAATACTAAGCTACCTTAATTAAAAGTCTGTGCTTTCCTTCCACTGCATTACTATTTTTCAAACACAGAAGTCTGGGGTAGGAGAGAAATAGTATAACAAGCACTACGGCAGGTTCTCTACACCTAGTTTAACATGAAGAACATACATTGTGTCTGTTTTACATTCTGGGCTTAAGTGTAGCTATTTTTGAAGATGATTCCATAACTAAAGTTTAAACAACCACACTGCATCAGGCCACCTCAGTGCTACAGTTATATTCATTTACCTTCACTATTGTTCCTCTGCAAGGAACAACCACACTTTACTGAAAGTTATTTATACCCATGACGTGTTTTTGCATAAGAGACCTATCAACAATTTGTCATACCTTTTTATTTTTTTGTTTTCTTTGAGACAGGGTCTTGCTATGTAGTTCAGTTTGGCCTTGAACTCACTATGTAGTTCAGGCTGGTTTCAAACTTGCAGCAATCCTCCTGCCTCAACCTCCCAAATTATTTCTCTTTGATATTGTGCCAGTGCATATAACTGTGTGAATGTGTGACTATGTGTTTTTGTGCACGTGTTGATGTGAATCTGTATATGCATGTGTGGGGTGTGTGTGTGTGTGTGTGTGTGTGTGTGTATGCACGAGCCCACTTTGTTAGAGAACAGGGATGTCCAGGAAGAAGGGACAAACATGCTGTCTTTTTTGTGTGTGTGTGTGTGTGTGTGATATTAGGGACTAAATCCAGACCCTTTGCTTTAAGTAAAAAATACAGATTGTTCTGTATTTTAAAATAAGAAATCAGTAAGTGGTTGTACTGTCCTGGCTTGGTGTGAAATTTGTGTTCCTGCTGCCTCAGAATGCCAAAACTACAGGCATGTACCACACAACCAGCTAGGGATCTGTTGCTTTCTGTGTGTGTCCGCAGTAATATTGAAATGAGCTGCAGGAAGACTGGTACAGCGCATGCGTGCAGGCCAAGACAGGAGCGATCTGAAGGAGAAGTGCGGTACTGGCTATTTTCCTCCACGAGAGGGAGCCTCTGCGACATTTCTTTTGTAAAGAATTTCTTACAATTGTCCCATTCCTCACATGCCCCATAGGTGTAGGGATGTCACAAGTAATAGCTTCCTCTTCATGGGACATCATGCAAACATTTTAAGGAATCCTGACACAAAGACCTGGATGTGTATTGGCACCCAAACTACATAGAATCAACCCTCACCAACTCTTCAGAGAGTTGGATCACCTATATTTCTAGAATAACCTGAACATACTCCAAAATTTCTCTCTGTCTGCTAAAGGAACCATTTCCAAAACTACTTCCAACTTTAAGGTTCAACAACTTCTAAGAAGTACGCATCAGCTTAAACATAAACCTAGGTCATTTCATCCTTCAGCTTGCTTGTTACCACTGCTGAACTTGCTGCAGTTTCCTGTGAGGAATCTATAAGCAAGCACATGGTGTACCAACTCCTAATCAAGTACAGGGACATGAGAAATAAGGCTCCAAATTACTTTGCTAGTTTATCCCATAGTATTGTCAGCCATTCATGCCGAACTTTGATAATCCTGCTTATTCAAGCCAAAGTCCAGTCTTCCTAAGAGATGCCCTCGTCAGGGCTATATACAATAGGAAAGACCCACCTCCAGTATTCCACTCTCTAAAACCACCGGGACCTCAAGCATATGACCAGGCAGGAGACATAAGAGTAGAGAGGTGTGGAGTTCTTCAAGTTGGTTCTGATCATTGGTTATACGACCTTCAGAAATTTACTGACCTTTTCAAGCTTCAGTGAGTGGCATTAGTAACACAGGAACATATAGCTGATCTTCTAGGATTTTTTAAGTTATTAAAAATTACTTACTTATAGAGACATAGCATTTTTGCATCTTTATGGGGTAAAGTGTGAGGATCTGAGTCCATGTACACAGTGTATGATGTTCAACTCACTGTCGTAAGCACTTTGTGGTGTGAACTTTTGAAGATATCCTCAAATATATCATCAGTCACTGAAGCCAGTAGTTACCCTACCACACTACAGAAAATCAGTGTAGTAACTGCTGACAGTTCCTCCTAAGTGTGTTTTGCTACCTTTGATTTAACTTCTTTCCCATCACCACCACCCTTCCCCCGCTTCCATTCTCAGATGCTAGGGACTGCCATTTCGCTCTATTCTTCTGAGATGAACATTTTAGTTTCAAAAAGACTTTCATGTCAGGTGCTGCCTCCCTGCGGGTAAGATTTCTATTCTAACAAGGCTTCGCTGGCTGTGTTGGGAAACATCTTGCCCTCGGTGCAGCACGAGGATCTGTGTTCACTGCATCCCGAGATGGGGCCTGCGAGCGCCCAAGCTCCACGAGAGCCGGGCAGGTGGACAGAATCAGTGTGCGGGGCTCAGCCCTTCCCGGCTGCCTCTCAGTGCGCAGTTCAGGGCAGCCCGCTGGGACTGTGCGGAGTGCGAGACCTGTGATGCTCCCTGGGGTGGCCGAGGGCGGCTCCAAGGCTGAGCCTGGGCCTGGGGGACGTGTGGACCAGCTCCTTGCACTGCCGTGGTGCTGATTATGTGATTCCCTGTTGAGGTCCCCCAGGGAAGGGGATGGGCTTTCATCTTTTTCAAATAACATTTATAACTGACAGCAATCATGATTGTCAACATTATCTGAGGGCCATTCTTTGTTTACAGATATAGAGAGATGTATTCTTACATGACTAATATTTAAATCTTTTGATGTTCAGAGCGACAGTGTTTAGAATGGGCAGTGCTCAGGTATGTTTATTACCATATAATGAATGCATAAGCATGAAAAAGTCTATTACTATAAGGAATTTTAAATGAGGGGAGGCACCAGTATGGTAAGGTGCCCTTTACATATTGTGTACTTTAGAAGACTTGTACATCTGGGAAATTCAAATGTACATAACATCATTCTATCCTAAGCAGCCCAATTTATCTTTTTAAAACTTATTATCATAATAAGACCATACATTTTCCATGCTGAAAAACCTTTGTGTTCTCTCATAGATAGTTAACTGTAAATGCTCCACCACTTTCTACAGAGTCTTAGGGTACCTGATTCCACCTCCTGCTTTGATCCACTTGTCCAAAACTCTTTCCCACTCAAGAGAAAGAAATGACACTACTTTCTTTCTGTTTCTTAAACATAGCCTCCCAGGCTGTAGCCTCTTGTGTTTTCTACTTTCTTTTTTTTTTTTTTTTTGATTTTTTTTTTTTTTTTTTTTTAATTGGTACTGGGAATCGAACTCAGGACCTTGTGCTTGCCAATGACGCGCACATGCCACTGAGCTACATCCCAAGCCCTGTAGCCTTTTGTGTATGTGTTGTTTTCCCTGACTAGAAAGACTGACTCCAAGGTTTCCAACTGGTTGGGTTTTTTTTTGGTACCAGGAATCGAACCCAGGACCTTGTGCTTGCCAACCAGGCGCTTGTGCCACTGAGCTACATCCCCAGCCCTGTAGCCTTTTGTGTATGTGTTGTTTTCCCTGACTAGAAAGTTTGACTCCAAGGTTTCTACCTGGTTTCTTTAAAACCATGGGAGATTTCAGGTCCAACACACAGGGGGTTCTTCACAGGTCAGTACTGATTCCTCAGCTCTGAGCACAGCGCCTACCTCACAGTAATTCTCAATAAACATGCTGAATAGAGATTGGGCTGTATTGAATTTTCAGTGCAGAAAGTCCTCAGGGTTGGCCATACAGGTGTCTCTCTGTCTAATGACAAATCCTATGCCATCATTTTGAATAAATCACTGGGCTAATGTGTGGTTATTGGGTCCTGGAAAAAAAAGAGAGGAGTGAGAAAGTGAGAGAGAAAATAGTATAAGCCAGAGAAAGCACAGTGCCTTCAAGCAGCTGTGGGAAAATCATTGTTGGTAAAACTTTGTGTGTGTGTGTGAGTGTGTGTGTGTGTGTACCTATGTGTGTATGCCCGTGTGTGTGTACATGTGTGCATGTGTAAGTGTCTGGAAATATAAACAAAAACTGCAGTGAAAATGATATTTGGATATCATTTGCTGTACCAGCAACTGGAGGTCTCTGAAGGTTCTTAATCAAGTGAATAGAAGGATCAAATTTACTTTCTGGGGGTAGAAAAATGACATGCATCACCTCACCCTCCCCTAGATCTTCTAGACATCTATTTACACAGCTAACACTGGAGATCTAGGCAAGTCATCAATAACTGCTAGTGTTGTAAGGAGGTTTAAAAGTAACCAAAGCCTCAGAAGGGGTAGATGGCACCCTAACAAAACAAGGCCATTGCACTCCACTGGGTTGTTTTCATACCTGTTACTGTTTAGATCTGAAATGCCCCCCAAATATCTCTGTGTTCTGAAAAGGGCTGGATCACGGGGGCACCCCTGATTACTTTATAGCTATGTATGGCCAGGAGATGGGGCCTGGCTGGATAAAGTGGGTCACAACGGACATGACAGGGAGGTGTGCTCCTTCCCGGTCCCTCCGCTTCCTGACTGCCATGATGTGAACAACTTGGCTCCTCTATACCGTTACATCATGCCATCTCTGTCTTGGAACCAGGCAACCATGAGCTGAAACCAACAGCCAAAATAACGCTCTGCTGCTTTAAGTTGTGAGTACTGCATATTTTGTTCCAGCAATGGGAAAGTGACTAAAACAATGCATTGTGTAAGGTCAGATGTTTTTAGCACCTGAACCACCAAGGGCTCAGAAAAGATACCTTTTCTTTCGCCTTCCAAGGGATGAGGCCACATTTTCTTTTTTTCTCACAAAGCCATCAGAAAAATAAAAAATCACGTAACAATTCTCTTCTCTAGTGACAGCTGAGTGATCATAAACTGAGCTGAAACAGAAGTGACCAAGAGGCAGGGAACACAGGAAGTGACAAAAAGTGGATCCTAGAATCCAGGATTACCTTATGTTCCAGGAGAGGTAAAGAAAGTGGAGCACTGAGATCGAGGATCAGCTTATTCCAGGGTCAGTAACTGTGGCAAGAAGCATAGACAAAACGAGCGTTAGGAGATAATAGATCCTCTCAACTATGACTTTCGACTGGCAATTTTAATGCAGAGATTTTTTATGTAACTACTGCTACTAAAGTGCTAACTCCTTTTTTATTATTTTCTGCCAGTTTTATAATTTTTTGGTTCCTCTTTTCCTCTCTTGTTGTTTTCCTTTATGTACCACAGGATGTTTTGCAGTGACGTGCTTTGATTCCTCTTTCTTTTGCATATACGCTAGAGGTATCTCCTTTGTGTTACCCTGAGGCTTGCATAAAATCTGTTGTAACCAGCCCCAAGTTTTAAACTGATAACAGCTTAACTCCAATCACATCCTCAAAAATCTCCAATTTTATTTTTCCCTTACATGTTATACTAGTGCTGTCACAATTTACATATAGTATGCATCAATTAACATATTTTATAGTTATATTCTTAATGCTTTTTTCTTGCAACTCTTATAATAAGGTTAAACATTATTTACACACCACCATGAGTATAGTATTACCTCTATCTCCTTTTATATATATATATATATATATATATATATATTTACCTATAGCAGTGAGTTTTATAAGTTCATATGTTTTTATTCAGCTTCCTTTCATTTCAACTCTACAGTTCTTTGTTATGTAGATTAGTGGCTGTGAATTCCACACATTTAGGAAGGTCTTCCTCTCACTTGTTTTGGGACAGTTTTTCCAGACATAGGGTCAGCAGCTTCTGGATGAGGAGTCTCAGCATTCTCCTTGCAGGACCATCCCAGCTCCAGTAAGCCCCCTGTCCCCTTTCTGTAATGCCAGGACACAGAGAGGTGTCATGTGGGGTGCATGAGTTTTATGTGGGCCGCCCCGTCTGTGACATCCTATTATAGCAGAGACCTGAGGTGTGTACTTCTTTCCTTTTTGACAGATTTCGCCTGCAGTTTTTATAGCTTCTTTTGGTTGTCCGTATTTCTCTATTTGGGATGTGTGTTTGTGTGCATGCACACATACATATGTGTGTTACAAATACTAGTGTAAATTTTCATTTTACCTAAAAATTTCTGCTTTGCTAGTAGTGTTGCTCTGAATATATAAATAAGCTGAAAACACTGTCTGTGCCCAATCAAATGTGCTTCTGGGAAGATTTTACTTGATTTGTGGTGATCTCCAGTGTTTACAAAGATTTTCTTATTCTCACTTTTCAGATTCACTTTATGGCAGAATGAAAAATCCCTTTCCTAATTTTACCTAGCAATTGAATGTGTTTTCTAATATGAAACAGCTTTAAAGAAAATATCTCAATATATTTACAATAACTTAATATATGTGTAGTCCAAAGTTAAATTATCAGTAATTATTTTAATTTCTAGCATTAATGGTAGAAATTAATACTATTAATTAATACTAGTTAATAGTATTAGGTACTAGTTAACAATTGTTAGGTACTAGTTAACAATACTAGTTAATACTATTAATTAACTATTAATTACTATTAATTTAAAAATTAATACTATTAATTAACTAC